AGTGGTGGAGGGTGTTGTGAGGCCAGAGAATAATAGAAGGTTTGGTTCTGAGTCAGAAAATCCAGAAGATGGTGGAAGATGTGGCAGCTTCTCCTTGAAGGACGTTAGGGCCTTACGCAGCAGAAGGGTGAAGACGGGGAATTTGAGGCACAGAAAATGGCTGGGGCAAAGCCTTGGGGTGGTCAGCTGCAGGGCACAATCAGGAGCATTCAAGAGGCTCCTGTAGGGGATGGGAGGTAGTTCGGAAAAGCAGAGGGACAGAGTGGGCCTTTCTGAGTTGGTCTGGTGGTCTAATCACTTATATAGAAAATAATGGCCAGGTGCGGTGGCTCATGCCTGTAATCCTAGCACTGTGGGAGGCTGAGGCTGGTGGATCACCTGAGGTCAGGAGTTCGAGACCAGCCTGGTCAACATGGTGAAAGCTCGTCTCTACTAAAAATACAAAAATTTGCCGTTTGGTGGCAGGTGCCTTTAATCCCAGCTACTGGGGAGACTGAGGCAGGAGAATCGCTTGAAACCTAAGAGGTGGAGGTTGCAGTGAGCCAAGATCATGCCGCTGCACTCCAGCATGTACAACAGAATGAGACCTTATCTCAGGAAAAAAAAAAAAAAAAAAAAAAGAAAAGAAAATAATTGCCCATACTTTTCATGTTAAGATACAGGCAGGTGATTTTCAAAAGCCTAGTTTTTTCAAACAAATGTGGTCTTGCCTCCTACTGAAGGATTGTCTTACATACAATAGTTCATTACCATGAAAAATAAGAAAGTGATTAATTGCAAAATTATCTTTTATGTTTAACTTTCTAAAGATAGATTTGTCAAAGAGCAGCACGGGAGATTTTTAATAGCTTTATGTACTGTTTTGTAATCAGTTCATTTTGTAACTCTGTACCTTATTAAGGATAAAGCATGCAAAGCTTCGTACTATCACCAAGAATACCAAGTCTGCAGGCTCTAATCTGGGGTCGGGGAAGGAATAAAGGAAAAATAAAAAAAGAATCCCTAATAAGGGTCAGTCCCAGGAACAACTTGCCAAAGACTGTGGATATCTAACATCAGTGCCTGCCTGTTTGTGTATCTTGGCAGCATCATATACACATTTCTTTTGGTTGGGTGCCCATTGAGTGAGGACCCTGTGGTAGGTCATGAGAAATCAAAGTCATGGTCTCAAACTCAATGGTGTCTACATGATTTTATGTGAACTGGACAAGAGGCTGAATGGAATGTAGTCTTTTATTAAGATATTTGGGCAAACCAAGCATTTGTCCCCATTTCCATCCTCAGTTTAGTTTTTCCTAGTAAGAAACTGAAACATAGAAAACTCAAGGGCAGAGTCTATCAGATGCCTGAAATTCCAGTTCATTTGTAAGTCACTGATAGGCGACAATACATATACATATGAAATACAGTCTATTATAAAATATATGATGAGGTACTTTAAGAAAATGCTTTTGGCATATTACAAAGTCATTATTATTGTTTACATCTATTTATCATTTTGCTTGTTGAACACGATGCTCTTGAAGACTGACACCACTGTAATCTGATTGTGAGAAACACATCACTGATATCTTAGCTGGGGAAATGTTCCGTCTTACTCCTAAACATACTAGTTCTTGTCCTGATGGGAGGACCTTTTTGAAGAAGCGTGGTTTTGTTTCTCACCCTGGGTCTTATATGCACATGAGTGAAGGGAAGACCCCCACAACCATATGGAGAGTTCCATTCATTTACACATCTCTGCCTCCTCTCAGCCACAAGGAGATGGCTGTTCAATAGTAAAGTTCCTCTCTATTGGCATATAACAAATAATATAGCAGTGTAACCAGCAAAAGGAAAAAAACATACAAAACCATCCATAAAACTTGGTATCTTGCCAGCAATAAGGAATGGCATGATAAATTATGGAACATCACTAAAATGGCATATTACATAATTGTTCATTGATAATTAGAAATACTACATAGAAACATGGAAACATGCTTGGAATATAATTAAAAGAGAAAAGAAAAACACACTATTATAATATGTATGCTGCATATGCATGTGGAGGAAGCCTGGAAGATGATATGCCAAAATAGAAACACAGTAGTTGCTTTAGGATAGTGAGGTGGTGGGTTTTCAGAAACTTTTTCTTTAATGTGATAAAATACTAGTATTAATAATAGTGAATTCACCAAATAAATGATGTTGTGGGTACAGAGGGAGGCTATTAATAAATAAGTAGAGCTTGGACATTGGAAAAGAGAAAAAACATTTAATAAAATGAATCTTCCTTTCCTACATTTGTCATCTCAATGGATATTAAGATCCATAATATTGAAAACATTTTCAAAGCAGCTGCTTAGTAGGGTTTGGAAGAGAGCCTGAACTTAACTGTATGTGGATTTTGTTTGCCAAGATGACTGCAACAGAAAATAAATCTTGAAACAGATGTCTAATGTGCTCTCGTTTGAGTATCTTGTCTGAATTCTCACTTAAGAATCAAGAAGCAGTTTGGAAAAAGAACCCATGTGCACAACAAGTAGGCACATAGAGCAAGAGAAATTCAGTAGAGAAATTTTGAAAATAAAATGCCTATTCAAAATCAAGTTGCAATGTCTATTTGGATTAACAGCAAAATAAAGTAATGCCTACTTAAATTTATATCTGTCTAGGAGCTCTTAAAGGCTACCAGGAACAATCTTCATGTCTATTATATTAATAAGAACAATTTGCTAAAACTGTCTAACTCATTGTAATGAGTTGCTGTCTTTTCCTCTAAAGGGCTGAGACACTTTTTTTCTCTTTCTCTTCTACCTTGGTTCAAAAGATTACGAGTTTTACCCTTTTTTTGGTGTATATATTGTTTTGACTTTGGAAGTTTAACTCTGAATAGTACTTACAAGTATTGATTTGGGGCACCAGGCTACCTTGTTGCATATAGAAAGGGGTTTGTTAATATGTTAAGAGAAATTCACACACACAATCATACATTTTATTTTCACTGGTCAAAGTTGAAACCTCTCACACCAACATTTGCAAATCTTTATTTTAGCACAGGAAAATATTTCCTCAAATGCATACTTAAATACCTTAAGTATCTTAAGTAGGTAATGGGAGAAGAAACATGAAATAGGTTTTGTTCTGAAGCAGAACTTGAAAACAAGATAAAATACCTTGTATCTCTAAACTAGTAGTTGACCCTCAATTTAGAAAGAGAGAGAATGATATGAAGGAGTTTGAAATGGTTCCAAAAAATCAGAAAGTAACTTTTCCAACCCCCAAACCATACCTGACAGTGCAAGCACCTTCTTTTGGAAAACTGCAGCTTATTGTGTAAGATTTGCTGAGTCTCTGTGACCATCTCTCTGTCTCACTATCTCCTCATGTCTAATGGTGGCAAACATCTTAAAGGAAGTTTTTATTCCTAAGAGTTATCCAGTAGTTGTCACCATTATAAAAATATGATTCTCTGTTTTCAAAATGCATTAAAAGTATTAAAAGTTACTGTGATTTTAGGGAACTATCTCTCCCCATCCCAAATCCAATGTCAATCACATTTAGTGCAAGGTTGTGTATTAGATTACTTTGAGTTATATCAACATTTTAAGTTTTCTCCTCAAAAGTATTTTACTCTGATTATGTTCATTTTATTCTCAGGAATGTATTGTGTTGAATAAATGATATTTGGTAATAAAATATCTGCTTTCATACATCTACAAAATTCTTTTTTGAGTAGTAGCAGTGCAATCTATGTCATATAATTATCATAAATTTCATAACTTTGGCATGCATTTTGCTGTAACTCATTTCCTGGCAATATATAAAGTGCCTTTGACATAATACCATAGAATATTTAAACTGAAAATGAATGATAGAAATAATCAAGTGTAAATCAATTCCCCCTCCCTTCACAGAGTAAGAAACTCAGGTGTAAGAAGATAAAATTCACCCAAGATCATGCATCTCATTTCTGACATTTAAGCCCTACTAAAATAATTACATCTTTTTGATCTTGAACTTGACTTGAAAATTATGATTTTTTTAAAGAGCATGATTCTTAAGACAGAGCAATTGCTATAGTTAAGAAAGAATTGCAGAGTTGGAATTGAAATCCACAAAAAATGTATGCCCAAATTTTTGTCCTCAATTCCCCTTTTGGGAGAAAGTGACTAAGACTATATGATCACTCAAAATGATCATTCTTTGAAGGATACAAAATACTCTGATCTTCAAGATGAACTCTATCACTATTCCTATATATAATTCAATATTTTTCTTCACCAGGGATCAAATGGCATTCTGCTTAATAGCCTTCTTATCTATTGCAGTTGAGCAAGTGAAATAGAAAGCACATTTTAGGATACCATTGTGATTTGTTGTTTTCCTCAGCAGCAAAAATGTATGAAATAGAGAGACTTCTATCATGTAATGTTCACTAATCAGGTGAGCTTAATACAATCTAGGCTTCAGTTAAATTTAGTAGATTAGTTCTTGTTTCACTGGCATTTAGTCTGTGAGAGGAGTTGAACAAATGTACAAATAATGACACTTCCAAAAGTTTAACCATTGCATTTCATACAAATTATGTGCAATGTTCAAGGCTAATGTGTAGACTTTATAGTCTTCAGATTTTAAAAGGTATATAAGAATGGTAATTATCAGTACATATCTGCCAATGTTAAAGACTTGGATATATATGTAAAATTTATTTTGTCTTGATGAAAACAAATTCCAATCTGTGAAAGTATCATATGAAGTAATTTTGCACCTGGTAAGGAAATAATACATGAATGATAGTAAATGTTTAGAAAAAACCCATTTCAGATAAAGATGCAATAAATGGATTTAAATGAAGAGTTTAAGAAGTAGCATAGCCATCTAAAAATGTTAACTTTTCACATAGCTGGTCACACTTATTTTACTTTATTAGAAACCACAATCTTGTCAGACAATAATGCCACAAGACTCAGTTACATAATCCAACTGTCTTTAACTCCCCTCTTCCCCAAAACGATCCCATCTAAGGAGGGTTTAACTCTTATATCTTGATTTTTTTTTCTTTCAGCAAATACCAAGTGTGATAAGCTTTTCACCAGACAAAAATTATTTTATATAAGAGATCATTAATTTTTTTCAATTTATTCCAACATAAAGCAGCTCAGTCTCCCTATGGTCAGCTCATGCGTCATTTGATGCCTCACATCTGCAGCCCACTCTAGATTTATCTTGTTCTTAGCTGGTCCTGGATAGCACTTTTTGGGTTATTTTACAAAACATTCAACATTGTGTAAATTGTTAAGAAGCAACCGGAGTGGCTTCCTTTCCTACCCACTGCCACTTCCAGTGTCCTTAACCCTTATCACCCTTCCCTAAAATGTGTCCCCAACATGCCTATTTACATGACTCTTGGGTACCAGAGGTTATCACACCCATCACATACCAGGTCAATTTCTAACAGTGTGAAGGCTCTCCAAGCAGAGTAATTTCCTTCCATGGGGAGCTGGGCTTAGTCATATTTCTATTAATCCAGCGACCTTTGTATGCAGAGATTAGACGATGGTCTCGTGGTCCCACCTGCCTTGTATCTGATTGATATAACAACAGTATCTGTCATAGGGGCTGTTCTGCTTGTAGGAGCAAACGATGATACTGTCCTGGGGCACAAAGAAGATGCTGTCCTCGGGCTCAGGGCACTCAGGTCTGTCCCTTGCTGAGCACTTGATGTCCAAGGCACTGTAGGTGAGGGAACTGCCCGAGGGGCAGTAGCCATCCAGGTATCTGGACGTCTCCTCCTGATGCCCACTCTGGACCAGGCTCTGGCATTCTCCTTCCTCCGTGGGTGTGGGGGTGGTGATGGAGCTGGCCATGGACACCTCACTCTGGCCTTGTCGGGGAGGCTTCCCCCTGAGGCCCGCCTTCTTAGCCAGCTCATCTGAGCTCCCCTTGCCGGACTCCAGGTCTGAAGGGGTCCTCAGCAGCTCCACCACCTCCTTGTCTTTGGGTTTCCGGAAGCAGGGCAATTTGCGGACCCATAGAAGCTCGTTCTCTGGCCACTTGGTGCATCCCTCGGTTTTCCTGGCCAGGGCAATGGCCGCGATGCCTGGTAGGCAGATGGCTGGCCCGATGGCCAGGAGGGGGATGTTTCCCAAAGTCTCCCCTTTCATCCCAGAGACGGTGAACATGAAACCGAAGACCAGGAAGACACTGACCAGGGCCACCACCAGCCCAGTCCTCGGGTTAATGTCATCAGGCCGCATCTTTCACTCCATCCAGGTTGGGGGCTGCTTGCTGACCAGGGAGCAGGGTTCCTCTATCCTGTCAGAGGTGAAAACCACAGTGCGTTTTAAAAAAACCCAAGTCTAGCTCCCACCCACCAACTCTTATCTCTATCTTGTTCTTTCTCTCTGACTTGCTTCTTGACTTTCAGTCTTTGTATCTCTCTTGCAATCTCTCTCTCTCCGCGTTTCTCTTGCAATCTCTCCCTGTTTCTATTTCTACTCTTTCTCTCCGTCCCCTCTCCCTCCCTCCCTTTCTCTCTCGCGTCCTCCCTCTCTCCCTCACACTATTGCAACTTCTGTCTCTCTCTCATATCAACACGCACCTCCTGGGGTCAACGAGGTACCTGAGGTTTCCTGCCCTCTCCAGGAAGTAGGGAAAGAAGCCAGGCAGTCTCCTCAGAAGCCTCCACAGCAGCTGCCCCCTCGGCTCGCTCGCCTGGTTCTGGGAGGAAAGCCTGGTTTCCCCCACGGACTCTGCATTGGGGAGGTGGAACGTGGGAGAGCGGTTCTCCCAGCAGTGCCCGTCGGTCCTGGTGCTGTGCAAGCGGAGCCCGGCGCCAGCTCAGCGCGCAGAGCGCGGGGCGCGGGAGGAGGGAGCACTGAGTCTGGGAAAGAGGGGACGCGGCGCGAGCCTGGCCTTGTTACATCACTGTCAGAGCAGTCTCAGAAACGCAGATGGACGCGCGGGGGCGCGAGGGGGTCAGCCCCGGAGAGAGGCCACCCAGCGGCAGGCGCTGCCGGGGTCTCGTCGGGGCTGCTGGGAGCGGCCGGGGTTTGTGCCGCCGCCGTCCCAGAGGCTGAGCGGGGCGACGTGACCCGTTTCCGTGCCCGGGGAGGGTCTGAGGCGCGAGGCTGCTAGTGACTGGAGTCGGAAACCAGGGTCGGTTTGCCCACCGGGCAGCCGTTGGAATGTCCGAGCTCGGGCTCCCAGTCCAGGATCCGAGGGGTTAGGTGCCAGCTGGAGATGTCCCTCGGGGACCCGCACCCTTCTCCAGTTACAAATCCGAGTGACTGACGACAGGCCAAGGGGCTCCGCGACCGCCCTTCTCTCAATCCCCTGACTCGGGGCTCAGGGGGCTGTGTGCCTCGGGGAGCCGGTGCCCGAGGACTGCTTTGGTCCCGGCGCTGGGCGGTGGCGCTGCGCGAAAGCGCTCTTGCAGCGGAGCGACTGCGCCGCGGGAGCGCACAGAACCAGCGCCCAGGCGGAGTGGGTTAGTGGTGAGGGGTGGGTGCCGGGCTAGTCTGGGCCTTGGGTGAGTCCTCGGAGTCCCCGTGGCTTTCCAGCTCCAGGCTCGTGACAGGGTGACCTTGGAGCCGGGATTTCACTTCCACAGCGCCGTTGTGCCAGGCGGACAGGGAGAAGGGCTCTCTGGCCCCCAGTTCACGAGGAGAAGTGGCCTTGTCCGGTCAGGACCACCACCCTACGACGCCGCTCCGGCTCTGGGCGATTCTCTCCTCCCTTGCTGAAGCAGGCGTTGAGATCCTGCGTTCCTCCCGCTCTGGTAGTTGGCAGAGGCAGATGGATTCCTCTGGCCCCGGGGGCAAGACTGGCTTTGGCTATGATTCTTCAACAGGGCTGCCCATTTAGGATAGAGGAGGGCGGTGGAGAACAGGTTGGTGAGCGGTACATGCTTTCATGTCAAGACACTGCTTTACTGGAAAGAATTTTCACATCTGGGTCTTCCCCACTTAAACTAGCTGTATGTTCCTGGGCAAGTGACTTAACTTCTCTAAGAATCAGTCGTCCTATTTGTAAAATGAGATTAATACCAAATATATGAGGGAACATTGTGAGGATTAAATAAACGTAAAGTTCCTAGCACAATGCTTGGTTCATAGTCCGTGTACAAAAATTACACACACATGCACACACGTACACATGTATATGTATATATATTTGTCATAATTAGTGTCTTCATCATGTATGACAGAAACCAAACAAATCATAAAGGCTGTGGGACTAATGACTTTTTATCCACTAGGCAATGAAGAACCCTGAATGTATTTTAAGCAAAGATCAGTATAAAAACATTCCAGTTTAACTGAAGGGAGAGCAGGTGAGAGCATAAGTTGGAGCTGGTAAGTCTGGAAGCTGGGAGTCTTGTTAGGAGGGCAGTTCAGTACGCTGGGCAAGACATGATGTGGCCTTAACAATGTAGGGCTGGTAGAGAAGTTAGAAGAAAGCAGATCTGAGGGTATTTAAGGGTTAAATGAAGTGTCTTGGAGCACAGTGAAGTGAGATGAAGGGAGGAGCCAAGGCCAACTCCCAACTTTCTCACTTTTAAAGGGGTGGATCAGGAAGCAGATCCTTCTCATTTTCCACTCCATCATCTATTTTGTGTCTTTTGTACTCATGATCATTAGACAGCTGCTGCACCTTTAGGCATAGAATCATTTAGGAGGGAAGAAAGGAGAAAATGCAAAGGGTAAAAGTGAGGTGCCGGTTCTTTGGCCACTTTTATGAGGACAATAATAATTTTCCTGGCAGCCCCACCAAGTAGATAGGCATCTGCTTATAATCGACCAGAGATGGATGAGCTTTGGGATACAAAGGTACCTGGGAAATTGTTGTTTATTTATTTACCAGATCCACTGATGGCCTGAAAAAAGGGTTTTGTTTAAAAGGAAAAAGGGAGAAAGAATACTGGGGAAGCAGCCCGCTACGTGTGTTACAACTATTGAAAACTTTTCCGTTCTTAAAACCCTCTCCTTTACTGACACCATTCTATCCTGGTTTTCTTCCTATCTCCCTGATCACTCATTTGTAGGCTACTTTATAAACTCCTATTTTATTTATTTTTATTTTAACAAACCCCTTAGATACTGATGTTCTGTAGGTTCTATTCTTGCTTCTCCCCTTTCCTGATTTCTCTTCTCTTCCTTTTCATTCTATAATAGCCTCAAACAGCCTGAATAGGCTGATGACTCCCAAAACTCTCTCTTTAGCTTTGTCCTTTTCCCCCAGCCCCAAATCTGTAATATCCAACTGTCTGCTTGATATCTCTAATCTTGATGATATGCAGACACCTCATACTTGTTAGGGATTTTAGACTTCAGGGATTTAGACTTTAGCAGTTTTGATCTATGGGGATTTCAACATTAGAGGTTGTGGGGTTTGGGATTGTGTCCTTTGGGATTATGTTCCAAACCTAACCCCATCATCATTTGCCAACTGAGAATTATTTGCAATTGTCCCTTACTCCGTTCTCTCCCTAACAGCCTATATCCAGTAAGTCACCCAAGGCATTATAGTTTTACCTTCTAGGTCCCTTGATTATCCCCTCTTCTAGTGGTGATCCTAGAAAGATAGCTTTACCTTCCTGTGTTTCAACTTCTTAATGAAACAAAGACTTTGAATGAGGTGCTAGGTAAGATTCATTTTAGCTCTAATATTCCTTGCAGTAGTTACTTCTGCAGGGTTGAACTGATGTCAGTGTTGTGGAGATGTTTCAACAATAGTGCTGGAAATAAAGTTGGGTCCTAAAGAAGCAAGATTGCTGAATGGAGACCTCCTCTCACTTGTACAAACATATAATTCTTTTCTGATTTTTAAGCCATGCAGTTTATCTACTTAGGCATTAGATAAGACCCAAGCATAAAACCACAGGAAACTTCAATTGCTGTTTAATTATAAGCCTCATTTTCAAAGCAGTTCCTTCTTAGAGGTAATTTCAGATGGTCTTTGAACAGCAGGTATACTTGCCCAAGTCAGCAGCAACAGTGGGTAGGGATTGGAGACATCGCTCAGGGTCACAATACTCAGAGACAGATAAGGCTTTCTTAGTATTTAATTTCTTGCCTGTATAGACTGATTGCACTTGGATTGTAAAACCTTAAGCAGTTCTTGCAATCTTGTAAGCATATACAGCCATGTACAAAGGCTTTTTATTAGAAGAGCAAGGAATTCAGGCTGAAATGAGACTTTGGCAGGTGGGTGTTTCAGAAGGAAACAGAACCTTTTATTTAGGAAATTATGGAAATCATGGCATGCTAGCCTTTGAAGATACCTTGTAGTATATCTACTCCAACTTCTTTATCGTACAGGTAAAATCCAGAAAGGTTTCATTCGTCCAATATAACTTGAGTATTTATTGTGTGCTTAGCATTGTGCTGGGTGCCAGGGATATAAGTCAAATAATGACATGGTCTGCCTTTGTAGAACTCACACTCTCAGAGCAAGTTGTGTGTATGCCAGAATAGGATAGATTATGTGGTGACAACCAAAGACCTCCAGCTCTACAGAAGCTACATGCTCATAATATTATACATGTCTGTAATAGGCCAGCTGCTGCCCTTCTCTGTGCCATCTTCACTCTGAGATTCAGATTGACAGAGCAGCTTCCATTTGGGACATGGCCAATCTTGTAGCAGAGGGACAAAAGAACAGGACAAACCACATGCTGGCTGGTAAAGTGTATTCCCTAGACTTTGCCATCACCCCTATCTCTCAGGTTCCTCCTCCTTTCACTTCACTTCTTCCTTCCAGCTCAGCTATCCAACCCTGAAGGGATAATAGAGACCAGGTCTCGTGGCTCACACCCGTAATTCCAGCACTTTGGGAGGCTGAGGTGGGCAAATCACCTGAGGTCAGGAGTTCGAGACCAGCCTGGCCAACATGGTGAAACCCCATCTCTACAAAAAATACACAAATTAGCAGGTGTGGTGGCATGTGCCTGTAGTCTCAGCTACTTGGGAGGTTGAGGCAGGAGAATTACTTGAGCCTGGGAGATGGAGGTTGCAGCGAGCCGAGATTGAGCTATTGCACTCCAGCCTGGGTGATAGAGTGAGACTCCATCTCAAAGGATAGTGGAGTTTCTGAAACTCCTGAAACTTTGAAGGTTAAAGATGGACATTTTTGTCTAGTATCATACAAATTCTGTAGTTGTTTTCTCTGAGACTGACAGATGTTTCACATTCTGCTGGAGACTCATCTAACATCAATGTCTTACTCCCTGGTGTGGGCTCAGTCCTTTCCTAGTGTGATGAAAGGAGCAGACAGGCCTGGAGGTACAGTAAATGTGATGGCCAAATAAAGCCTGGGCCTGTTTTAGCTTGTTCCTTCTCTAGACTTTTCCCAATGTCTGTCTGCCCTCTTGTAGTCTTTCTGTCTCTTCCGGGTTTGAATTTTTAGGTCTGGAGCCTGAAAAGCCATGAAACATGGATCCTGCTTACCTTCTCTCTGTATTAGGAATGCTATTTTGGTTGTAGTAACATAAACTAGAGCTAGCCTGAGTCAGAAAACAAGAAGAGGTCTTTTTTTGGGGACTTTTCTGAGCGCACAAGGGCAGGAATGTAGCTGAACGTTTGAAGAGAATCAGAATTGGAGACTCAAACGCTACCAGGTATTTCTCTCAGATGTTTATTTCTCTTCTCTCTGTCTACTTTGTTCTTCTCTTTCCTTGTACAGACTCATTTCCTCCCTTTATCTGGTATCCATGTGGAAAAACATGGCCCCAGTAGCTCCAGTGTGTCCATGTTACAAATCTGGTCACCTAGAGGCAGACAAGGTGGTGATCTCTAAATTTTAAAGTCCCAGGGAAAGAGTTCATTGTATCATTTTGGGACAGGTGCCCATTCACAGTCCAGTCAGCTGTTAGGTGACGTAGTTGCCAGGAACTCCTTTATTGTAACAACAGGATAGGAGGGGAGTAGTGGCCAGAGGAAAAGAGTGGAGTGATTTTCTGGTGGCTGAGCTGTCAACTGAAAATGTACCTGGTGTATATTCTGCTACTTAACATCCTTCTAGAGTTTAAAGTCTTTGAGAGCAGAACTCATAGCTCCAAATTTCATATAGGGATTGGGGGCATATCTCATAACAAGACAAATTATAAGCATAATATGCTCTGCTAAAGGAGAGTATCAACAAGAAATGCATAGAGCTGAAGCCTAGAAAACTAGGAGGTTTCATTGAGATATATTAAATAAAAATGGAATAAATGGCATATTTATTAGTGGAAAGACTGACTATGGTAAAGATTCCAGCTCTTCCCCATTTAATTTATAGGTTTAGCACAAGTCCGATTAAAATCCCAAATGGAAATTTTCTTGAACCTTGAAAAAATGACTTTTAAAGTTCATCTGGGAAATCACACATATAAATAGTAAAAATGGTTTGAGAGAGAAAAGCAATAAAGTCAGGGCTTTATTAACCACCTATGAAACTAAATTTAATCACTACAATAATTAAAGCTGTCTGGTATGGTGCAAAAAAAGTCACACTTATCAATAGAGTAGAAGGGAGATGTTGGAAATAATACTATGTATTTATTAGAATTTAGTTCAAGATAAAGGAAGCATTACAGACCCAATGGCCTTGAGAAAATTGATGATTTTGGAAAAAAGATCCTGTTTTGGGATGACATTAGGACCATTCTCCACCCCCTGCCCCCAGAGAAAGATAAAATTAAAATATTGTGACTGTTGTCTACTGTTCTTGAGTCAGTTATATACATATTTGTTCCTTTTTTTTTTTTTTTTTTTTTTTCTGAGACAGAGTCTTGCTCTGTCACCCAGGCTAGAGTGCAATGGTGCTGTCTCAGCTCACTGCAACCTCTGCCTCCCAGGTTCAAGTGATTCTCCTGCCTCAGCCTCTGAAGTAGCTGGCACTACAGGTGTGTGCCACCACATTCGGCTGATTTTTGTATTTTTAGTAGAGACAGGGTTTCACTATGTTGGCCAGGCTAGTCTCGAACCCCTGACCTCGTGATCTGCCTGCCTCAGCCTCCCAAAGTACTGGGATTACAGGTGTAAGCCACCATGCCTGGCCCATATTTGTTTCATTTTTAAGAAAGATAGATTACAGATGGCTGGCAGTGGTGGTGGCTCGCACCTGTAATCCCAGCACTTTGGAAAGCTAAGGTGGGTGGATCACTTGAGGTCAGGAGTTTGAGACCAGCCTGGCCAACATGGTGAAACCCCATCTCTACTAAAAGTACAAAAAAAAAAAAAAAAAAAAAAAAAAATTAGCCGCTTGTGATGATGGGTGCCTGTAGTCCCAGCTACCCAGGAGGCTGAGCCATGAGAATTGCTTGAGCCTGTGAGGCTGAGGTTGCAGTGAGCCAAGATCATACCACTGCACTCCAGCCTGGGCAACAAAGCGAGACTCTGTCAAAAAAAAGAAAGAAAGAGAGAGAGAGAGAAAGAAAGATGACAGAAAAGATGGAGAAGAGGCAAATTATCCAGTGTCTCATACCGAAAGCCTCTTTGTTAGGAATTATGATGGGGAATTGCCTGTGTTTTCACTAAAGAACAAAGAAAAACAAGTTTTAATATTCTGAATGAGAATTATGATTGGATATAGTCATGAGTTTACAATTTCTGCTTCAGGGGAGTAAATAAAAAGGATTATACAATGGTGTCCTTTTGAAACAGTCCATTACTTCTGAAATGACCAAGAAGCTTGACTATGGGTTAGGGACAAGCACCCTTCGTCTGCCTTACCCACCAAGTGAACCTTGCTTGTCTGGGAGCCCAA